AATTTTGGAAGATCCCTTATCTATATTGGTATATGTATATATTAAATGTACATTCTTTTTTATTTATTTATTTTTTATCAAACAGCAATTATTTAACATGTTATATTTTAATGAATTATTTAACATGTTTTAATTTTTACGTTTTAGAACTCTTATATTGTAATATTGTATGTTTCTTTATAATACTATATTACGAACTTTATATACTTTTATTATTAAGTTTAATTTTGCAATAAAAAGAAATTGAACAAAAATAAATAAATATAAAGAATAAAAACAATAAAAAAAAAAATTAAAAATTAAAAAAAAAAAAAGTTCAATAGCGGTTTCTCTTTGACAAGACCTGATGGTCTTCTTTGAGTATCCGCGTTCTTTATAAATATTTTTATTCTTTATTACTTAACGATATCTTGACTTGTTACTTTTTCTTTTTTCTTTTTTATATTATTTGTATCTGTATCATAAATATTGTAATAAAGAACAAAAAAAAAGAAAAATATATATATATTATGTAAACAAATTGTTAAAGTTCGTTAATAAAAATCAAATATGCTAATAATAATGACTCCTAGAGTATATCAATGTTCACTTATTAACTTAAACTCACAATTGTATACTTTAACATTTAAAAATAAAAGTATAAATAAAAGTAATGTAACTTATCCTTTTAGTTTAAGATCCTTTCTTTATCTTTTGAAATCTTTTTCATCGACAGTTAATTTAATTTGGGCTACATGTTCTATCTCCTCAGATACGTTATATTCAGTTTTTTTATTTAAAGTGAAGAGTCTCGTATGAAGTATTAATATATTTTATAATATAACTACAAGTGATACACATTTCCCAAAGTACGGTTCGTTAAACTCCTAAGGGGTCGTCGATAAAGTGCGTACGCCAAATATTTTAAAACTTTGTGCCTTTTTGCTAATTTAAGTAGCTTTTTATTATAGCAAAACCTAGCGGTAAAACTATGGAGATTTTGAGACTTAAACGACACGTTTTTTGGGGGGCCTCTGACCCATTAGCAAGGGCACTGCTAAAACCTGTTTTTATTGACTACAAAAATAGGTTGCCTAATATACGCCTTGCTCAGGGCCAGTATATAGGGGGTGGCATGTGTGCATGGGTGACCACAGGATATTTTGCTGTTCTAAATAGGACACTTTAACACATTTGGCGTAAGTATACTTATGTTTGGAACTAGCGCTAGCCCCAAATATAAGTATGCCTAGGCCAAATGTGTGAAATTTGTGCAAGCTCCAAACCTTAATTATAACTATGCCAAATAAGGAGGCTTTGCAAAAAATTGCATGGCGGAGACTTGGGAACAAAAAATGTCTTAAAACGCTTACCCCTTCCCCCCCCCTCCTACCGCATGCCCAAGCGTAAGGGCACTAATGTAGTAAAATTTCAACTTGACCATCAAAAACTAAACTTAAATTTATCGAAAGATTTTAGATTTCGCAGAAAAATATCGTAAATTACAAAAGTTATGATCATACAAAAATTACGCCCCTCTCTTATTTAAATATTACAACAATCAATCAAATTAGGTGGCAACTATGATCAATCAATCGTTATAAGCAGGATTTTTTTTTTTTTTTTTTGGGGGGGGGGGGCGTTTTAGGGTTTTTTGCTCCCAGACCTACGCCTGCTTAATTTTTTGCAATGCTTCCTTATTTGGCATAGGTAGGGTAGACCGGAACGATTTCGCCACGAGGACGATTTCGCCACTTTTAATATATTATTTTGGCATAACACCATATTTAGATGATGTAAAATATTTTTTATTTTGTATAGTTTTATAACCAGGAGTGTGGAGTCGTAATAAAAAATTAACGACTTTGACTCGCTTAATATTTTTCAAAGAATTTTTCAAAAATTTTGCTTTGGAGTTGGAGTCGGAGTCATAAAAAAACACAATTTTTTCAGGAAAAAATTGTGTTTTTTTATGACATTTATATTTGTGTGACTCCAGTTGACGAAATTTTTTGAGTTGAACTCCGACTCTGACTCCAACTCCGACTCCAACTCCAAAACAAAATTTTTGAAAAATTCTTTGAAAAATATTAAGCGATAAATTTCAATTTTTTTTTAAGCAAATATATGACCTTATGTTTATACTAAATCTTTGAGATTTAGTATAAACATAAGGTCAATTGAATGCTTTGCACATGCACGTCCAATACCGAGAGGTTTTACTATTAGAGTCGGAGTTGCGATTTTGTTTAGCAACTCCGACTCCGACTCCAACTCTGCTGAAAATATCGCAACTCCGCAACTCTGATTCCGACTCCACAATGCTGCTTATAACTATTGATTGATCATAGTTTGCCATCTATTTTGATTGATTGTCGTAATATCTAAATAAGATTTGCTGTTTATTATTATTAATTGATATTATTGTGTCACTCTTGCTTCAAGTGGCATTATTAATAGTTTTGTGAAATTGATTAAAACTACATTTGCGAATAACTACTAAGTTGAGAGCTCATATTTTTGTTAGAACTTTTTATCTGGAGTTAGTGGTTTAACTGTGGGACTATTTTATCACAACATGATAAAATAGTCCCACAGTTAAAAAAAATATATTATCTACAATATTTTTGCTTTCTAAATATTATTTAATAATAATATTAATTATTATATAAACAATTTTATAAAATCATTGGACATATATCAGGAATTATAATAATGATAAATTATTTATCCAAAAAGGTAATGATAAATTTATTAAATTATTTTGAAGATATAATAAATCAATAGTTTTTAGATATGCCTTTAATAAATAGTTTTATAAAATTCTCCTATAATTTTGTATTTAAAAATGTCATTTGTTCTAATTGAATGCATTTCTTATATTCGAATTTTTTATCATTAAATACTCACTATCGCTGAATGTTTATAGCCACTATATCGATTAACATTTTTTAATACACCACTATAAAATCCAAGCATCGATATTTAAAAAGAAATAATTATCTTGTTGCATTTTTACCATATTGCCAAATTCTAAAACTCCCTTTATATTACCTATTTTTCAGACGGTACGTAAGCATCTCCCAAAAAAAAGCCCTATAGTAATATAAACCTCTAATTGGCTATTCAAAAATTTTAATATTGAAAAATAAAATATAAAATGAAGAAGTTCTCAAACAAAAAAACAAGTGAATTGAGAGAAAAAGAAATTTTTGCCTAATCAAGTAAAAGTATATGAAAGAAGAGAAAATGCTATAGTTTAAAATCATTATTAAATGCTATCGACTGCGTAAAATGCTTATAGCAGGAACAGCAAAGAACAACTCACTGCTTTGTATTCGGTGTGGCGTGGGTGGACTCATCAGAAGGCTAGGTCCAATGTGTTTCTTGTCATATATGGGCAATTGAAGTCTGCTTATGTATCGACATGTTCACAGAATGTGCCTAATTTGACAAAATTAATAAAGCTTTAACTCTATTAACATTGGTGAAATTGCCCCATAAAAGGCAAAATTGCCCCATAAAAGTGTGTTACATAAACCGATGTTAATGAGTATAAATATATATATATATATATATATATATATATATATATATATATATATATATATATATATATATATATATATATATATATATATATATATATATATATATATATATATATATATATTTAATTTTTAAACGTGGTCGAACTAAATATAGTTTATTCAATATAATTTAGTTAATGGTATAAAAAGCGCATCTGGTTGAAAAAAAAACATGAAAGCAGTAAAAGTGGCGAAATTGCCCCAGTCTACCCTATAAACATATTTAAGTTTAGAGTTTGAACAATGTGTGAAAGTGTCCTATCTGGAACATCAAAAAACCTTGCTTACCCCCATGCATGTGTGTGCATTGAGAGAAACTATACCCTACACTCCCTATACTAAACAACTTTTTATGTTGGCAAACTAGGATCTTTAGTCAGAATTTTAAATTTTAACTTAAACGTACGTTTAGTCAGAATTTTAAATTTTAACTTAAACGTACGTACATCGATTTTCTAATGTATCACAATTAACCAGCTAATCAATAGAATTAGCTGGTTAATTGTGATAAATTAGAAAATCGATGTACGTACGTTTAAATTGAACCCCCTCCCCTCCTCCGTTTTCGTTTGCATGTTGAAGAAACCGTAAAGATTTAAACACTTGCGCGTTAGCGCGCATCACAACCTAAATAAGACGCCTGTGCCAGCTGGGTCCGATGTAGCCAAAAATTCATTCTACCTCCTAAAGGCTTCATATATAATGATTCATAGAGCCACCTCATTCTGGAACACTCTAAATAGTGAAACTATGTCCGGAAAAAGTCTTAAGTTGTTCAAAAAACATATCAAAAATTGGTATGGTAATAACTGCGTTTGCAAAATTATTCGTTTTGAAAATTTTGTTTTATTTTATACTCACTAATATTGTCAGCTAAGATTGAATTATTAAATATATATATTTTTTTTATTGAAACAATTGTAAATGTTCATGAACTTTTTTTTTCAGGAAAAAATTGTGTTTTTTTATGACATTTATATGTGTGTTAAAAAGTTAAAACGTGTTTAACTTTTTAGACAGTACACACACATATAAATATGAGATATAAGTTAGTTTTAATGTTAACTAAAACAAATTTAAATCTTGTAAAGATCAACTTGAAATAAAGTTTTTAAATTAAAAATAACAACATTACTAAGCATATATCACATATTCTACCCTGAGTTAAAAACTTTTAATTCTTTTTTTAGTGTGTAAATTTGTGATTATTTGCTTCATTATAGTAATGACTTTTTAATCCGTGGCTCATGATTTATAATTGGCTACTTTCAATGGCAGGAAGGGGCGGTAGAAAACAGCAGTAAATCAGGGATGCCACGTCATTTAATATTTTTTCTCCTCTTTTTGATATTTGTTTTGATATGTATAATATAGAAAATTTCTTATCTTAATTTATATTTAAATAATTGAGATATTTGTTATATTAATAAGGGAATGAGAAAAGAACATGAAACACACGCCAATTCTTCAATGCAAAACCATCTTTCAATGGCAATATCAAAATTGGACGCAATTGAAAACAAAATTACTTTAACAGTGGATACACTTGAAAATAAAATTGTGTCAAAATTGAATGCACTTGAAAATAAAATGGCGTCGAAAATGGAATCACTTGAAACCAAAGTTGCGTCGGAATCGATTGCACTTGAAAATAAAATTACGTCAAAAATGGAATCACTTGAAACCAAAATTTCGTCGGAATCAGTTGCACTTGATAAGAAAATAACCTTGAAAGTAGAATCATTTAATAACAAAAATGCATCAAAAGTGGATGCACTTGAAAATAAAATTACGTCAACTGTGGATGTACTTAAAAATGAACTTATTTCAAAAGTGGATGCACAAAAACATGAAATTATGTTACATGAGAGAAACTTGGAAGTAATAAAAGCCTTTCTTGCACTTGAAATGGTAAGAAAATAATTAAAATAAAAAAGTGATTTAAAGTAAATAAAAAATAAAAATAACAAATTGACAAAAAATGTATGTCATAATCATGGCCTACTATAAATACATGGCCGAATGTTTTGCTTTTCGGAGCGAAAAAATAAAGGGGTAACTTTTCACAACATAAATATATTGTATAACATGAATGGCCGCACTTAACTCAATAAAAACTATAATTTTTAGCCGGGGTTTTGTGTACGGAAGAAGGGTGTATAAAGTAAAAAATTTGTTTGACAAATATGATTTGACAAGTCTGATAAATTAGACACTTTCCGTTGCCTGTTGATATGATTTCTATAAAAAACATATACCGCTGAAATAAGAGAATATTATTTGAAATAATAGAATTGTACTTTGTTCATCTATAAAAATAATTTTAATAAAATTATGTGATGTTAATGTAATATCTTTAATAAACAATAAAATAATAAAATTAGTAATGACTATAATAAACTTGAAGATGTACCTCATTTTTTCTTAATAATGTTAAATAACTAAGCAACTGAGTACAAATACGTTTCAAACAAAAAAAAAATTAATTTACAATCCAACATGGGTATAACAAATTTAAAAAAATATGTAAACTTAATGCATTAATGTATCATATGACAAACCTAAAATAAAAATTGTAACAGATAAGTAGACATAAAAATTTGTAAACCAAGCTAAACCGACCCGGGTCTTGTTAAGTCTGTTCAACACAGAGCATTTCTATATTAATTGTTTGACCTCTTTATTTCATAAATTTTTAGTAAACGGCAATTTGCTACTATTTACTAAAAATTCCTTTTGTAAGTCGAAATTTAATTTTCCTAAATATTTTGACACTAATAAAGTGGTTTCTCCTCTCTTTTTGCTTTAATGGTGACCAGGTGAGTAGAGTTTTTTTTATTATTTTCTTAAGAGTAATCATGTTTTTTGATGAAAACCTTTAACCAAAATAATAAAATGTAAAACAATGATTTACAAATATAAGAATGTTTTCTTTCTTTTCTCAAAAGTGTTGCAAATAAAGCTGAAAAACTTTTCAGCTCAATTTTGCTTGCAGACCTTGCTTATAAAACCACTTGAATAAGAAAACATCAACAAAAGCTTAGAAGCTACTTAAAAATGATTTATGCAAAATTGAACTTTTAATGTTGACTGAAGTAGATATTATTAAAAAAATCATAAAAATTCAAAATGCTTTGTTCTTTTATAGCAAATAAATATATCATCAATCTGAAGTTAAAAATGTAACGAATAAGTAAATGCAAAGTAAAATATCATATGTGAATTGAAAATCAATGTAATTTTGGTAGAGATAAGCTGTTGTGATACCTGAGTAATAGTTGCTAAATATTGTTATTTCATGATAAATAAAATGTATTTATAGCGAAATGATGTCTTGAATGACTTTTAGTAAATAAATAAAAGCAGTGAGTTCTAGTAAGGAAACTACCTATTAATCATTTTTACCAGCTGCCACTAACTTAAAAATAAGCCAAAGGTAACAACATTACGCACAAAATTAATAAAGATAATGGTATGTGTTTTCAGAATATTTATAATAAAGGCAAGACAACATTTAGACCTAAAGCAGTAAGATTGCTTAACTGATAAGGTGGACAAATCTTGCTCTACACGTTTGCCAAGTCACGCCACTTTGAAATCATGGAAACAACATTAAATAAACATATATACTAATTATAAAACACAATATACTTTTTTATCTTACTTAACATATAAAAACACCTCATTTAACAATCATGCACAAATTAGATCTAATACATTTCATACTACTATAAAAACACATTTATATAAACACATTGATAAAACAACTGTATAACATATATCACCACATACACGTATTTATCAAAAAAAAATTTAACTGGGAGCATATTATACATGCAAACATGTAGGCAAACTTTTAGCAACTATAAAACAACATTTATTAGCATCAATTATTTTTAATGTAACAAAGAATGCAGACTACAATGCCCATCATGGTTAATAAAAATGAAGTTATGTCAGTCAGTATATATTTATCTAAAGTATTGAAAAAGAAGAAACCATTTAAGAACAAAATGAAAAGTTTCTAATAAATACATATTAAGATACATTAAAATAAAGCATAACACCACCCTCTTTTGACAAATTCCAGAAGAAATTTTCTTAATTTTTCTATTCCTTATTGTTTTTCTTTAGAGAAAATATACATGTAGAAAATATAAAATAGACTGAAATATAAAATAGACTGAAATAAACGCCAACTTTTGTATATAAACTATCATGATCACCAATAACAGTCTTCTTTGTTTCACTTGACATATTAAAGACATTAATAAAATTTATTCTCATTATTCTTTCTATAAAAAAAAATTCCTAATCTATGTATGAGAAAATAAATGGAACTTACTAAAAAAGCGATCAGCTCCTCTTAACTGCTCTAAAATATAAAACCCATACTTGCTTGAAATGTTTTAAAAAGACCTACGACAAATGGAAACAGTGGACTAAAAAATAAACATTTTACTAAAAGCTCTATGATACCAAACATTTTAGTTAAGCCATTATTTAAATTTTGCTTCCATTTGCTTGCAGATTTCACACGCGTGGACGAGACCGCGTGGAATAACAAAATAGATTATATTAACCATTTAGATAATATTAATTTATGTTATATTAATTTTCTTGGAACTTTAATTTTCCTTGTAGGTCCGTTTTAAGGATTTCTTTCCAGTCTTCGAGGCTCAGGACCCCGACTCCAACCACTCCGTCTTCCATAACACCTTATACCGACTCGTGAGACAGGAAACACAGGAACTGCATGAATTTCAAAAAACGCAGAATCCTTACCACCCGCGTATAACTCGTCCCTTCAAATATTACAGGAAATGGCGTGACACCTATAAAGACACAGATCGAGAAGACTTTAGGCTTTTATGCTTGAAGGCAAAAAAAAATTATAGATAAATCAAAATGTTTTACTTGTGGCGCGTATATATTTTATTCACATTGCCATTCGCGTCGCCCCCCTATATAACAGATAAGAGGTTTTTGGCCCAGATAAGTTTTACAACTTTTTCGTATTATTTTTCTCTTTTTTTATTTTTTTTTCATAAGTATTTTTTGTTTTTAATAAGTCTTTTTAAGGACCATTATGTGGAAGGAAACCATTATGCGAATATTTTGCCATTATCCCTTAGGTTTTTTAAGGATCTTCATGTGGAAAGAAATTGTAAGTTGAGATAAAGTTTTGCAAAAGTAGTAAAAATCAATTAAAAATAATTTAAAAAGATTTTTATAAAAACAAATAAAACGTTACAGGAGTTAACACTAAAAATTATACTCCACAAAGACTATAGATAACCCTTATACGTTAAAATAATATATCATAAAATAAGGGCTGGCAAAGATTGCCTAATCTTTATAACAATAAAGTTTGTTGTATCAAATAAATAAGCCGATGTTTTATTTTAGCTTATATATTTAGTTTCAGATTTCCATTCTCTACCGGGCAAAAAACGTTCTTAATACTAAAATATTGACAGAAAATGTTCGCAGTGTTTATACGATAATTGCCTGGTGCTTCTGGCTAATAAAATATTAGGATAATTAAATTTTAAAGTAATAATATTTCTGATGTTCCTGATTATTACCCTGATCACTATCATGGGGTGTTTATTTTATGTTACTAAACAAGTGGTGACATCCATATTGCACTCATTTTGGTTTAAGTGAGTGGCAACAGCAGCTGCAAAGTTGGGTTTTTGCCAGAACAGTCTACCTTCTGTTGCCTTGTGCTTCTGCACCAACCAACAGAAGGTAGGCTGTTGTGTAAAAAACGAAGGAGGATATTTTTGATTGGTCCGCATGCGTGTGAGGACCCAAATTGCGTGTGAGGACCCAAAATGCGTGTGAGGACCCAAAAGAGGATAAAAAAATTTTATCCAAATTTGGATAAAACTTTTTTATCCAAATTTGGGTCCACGGCATTGTTGTCATTTGCCACCCCATTTGGGATGAGTAACACGTTTGCTAGAAACCACACTTTTGACATTGCTAGCGTATTTACCAACATAGTTTTCCCCTAAGTGACAAAGTAAGTATTCCCAGAAACTTGAGTTTTTTCTCTACTTTGTTTAGAGTTACTAGCCTGTGGAAATTGTTAGTATTGGTCAGTCTGGTATAAAACACCCAACAATTTTAAATCGGTGTTATTGTTCCACTCTATGTTATCCCATTCTGAGCGCATTTTAGGATCAAAAACGCCAAGTGAAAGACCCTTGATTTTTGAAGCCTAAGAGCTCAAACAGTTTTATTTTTGTTGAAAAAATAGCGGACAGATTTTTTGTCCCACTCTATTCTGCTATCCGCTCTGACTACCAAAGCGAGCGCTTCGGCAACAAAAACGTACAGCAGAAGAGAGAGTGGTTTGCTCTGTCTGACTCCTTTTTCCGTAGGAAAGAAGACTGACGGGAAACCGCAATTCAGAATAGATGCCGAAACTTTTGAACATAGGGTGTTAAGAAAATGATACAGGATACAAAATTTCTCTAAGGTTGAATTTTTAGAGAACCTGCTGCAGGAACGCACGATTGACTTTGTCAAACGCCTTTTCTTGATCTATTGACAAATTGAAACTAGGTAGATTTTTAAATTCCGCGTAATCTACAAGATAACGGACAAATGTAAATTTGAGAATAAAGGTAATTGCAGGTAAAACCAACCTGGAATTCCACAAGTTTGATTTGGTTCTATAGTTTTCCCCATTACTTTTGCAAGTCTTAGGGCGAGCGCTATTGTGATTATTCTGTTATCAGCGCCGTTAAAGGATATGGGTCTCCAATTTAACATTAGTAACATCTCCTTGTTTGGGGATCAGTGAAATTATTGATTTTTTCATAGAGTGGCTAGTATTTTTTTTACAAAAAATGTTTCGTAGGCAAAATTTTCTTCAAAATTATATTTTCAATGAAAAAAAGTTTTGTAAAATTCCGCTGGAAGTTCATCATAGCCCGGAGATTTTCCGTTTTCAAAATTAAAAAGGGTTTCTTTTAGTTTCACGTTGTTAGGCGGGTATTTAGAAATTGGTTTTCATCATCATTTAAACGTTTAGTGATGTGTGACAAGACATATTTTTGTCTGTCTTCGCATAATTTAGTTTTAGTGTAAATGTTTTTATAATATGAAACTAGGAAGTTCAGTATCTCACCAGGTTCAATTGTCAATGTGCCGTCATTTTTACAAATTTCGGTAAATGACTTGTTCTGTTGAGTTTTTTTCAAATTATATTAAGGTTTAATATAATTTTTGATTAGGTTAATTAAGGTTTTTTCCCCTTCTTCGATTAGTTTTTGTTTCGTGCGAATTAACGCTCCAAGAAACTAGAGCAAGAAAAGAACATCGCGTTTTTCTTTCATGCTATCTAAATATCGGGTTAGCGTTATGTTGCTCCCGTTGGATTTTGTTTTTAATCCTTTTCATATGTTTTTTGTTCCACTTTTGTTCCTAGTTTTACAAAAATTGACAGTTGTTAATAGGAACTCGTGTTCGGAAAAGAGGTTGCTGTGAATTTTGATGTATGTTGCTTTGTTAATGATTATTATCACGGCAGTAAATTCTATCGAGTCAACATTTTACTTTCTGACTTTGCCATGTGAATTTTCTTTGGTTTGGAAATTTAAAACAAAAAACATCTACTAGGTTATACTGAACCTGGAAGGCCTCGAGTCCGTCATTGTCGTACGTGTGAAATTTTGCGTTGTTTGTGCCTTTTGTATCGAGAGGCAGGCTGTTGACCATGTTTTAGTCAACAGGACGGGTAGTACTGTATCCTGCTAGAAGTCCCTGAAAAAATAGTGCCTTTCTCTTAGCGCATTAGGCGCATTCAGCACCTGCATATCGTACTCATCAATTTTTATCATGATGATTAGTATTCTACTGCTATTGTCTATTTTAGTTCGTTTAAGAAAATGTTGGATTTAGAGAGAACTGCCACCCCACAACAGTTATTGGACCATAACATTTTACGACAACAATACGAATTAGCTTAAGCGCTTAAATACAAATGTGCCATGCATTATTAATGAAAAACGTGAAATAGAACTAAAAAGATGGAAAAAAAGAGTAAGTTTTAGCGAACAGAAAAAATTCGAGTTTAGAATATAAAAGTTCAAAAAAAGAAGTTAAACAAAAAAAATATGGAGAAAAAAAATTTTCTTACGATTTTTATTTCACATGGTTGACTTTCATAGTCCTATTCAATAAATAAAATATTAGCATCGTCCTCGCCAAAACTTTGTTTCTATAAACATCGCCTCTGTTGTTTTCAAAGCCGTGGTGTCTGTTACCAAAACTGTGGTGTTTGTAACCTTTTTAGATGTTTCACCCTCCGACTGTCCAGTTTTTTTCTAGTTGACTAGGTAAGAGTTTTTGGTAAGATTTTTTTGTTATTAAGGTAACTTTGTTTATTTTATGCTTTGATTAAATGATGTCGACGCTGCAATCATTTTTATCAAACTTTTTGTTTGAGCTGTAAAATTCCGCCTTCGATTTCAATTTCGGTTTTTCAAAAACAAATCTACGGAGGAATTATTTATTACTGCAAAATCGAAGAGTTGATTTAAGTGCTGCTTTTAACTCCCCAATCTTTTGCAAAGAAGTTTTTTTCCAGTTATAATAAAAAATCGTAAACATACTAATTTAAGTCTCCATACTTGCAAACTAAAACGTTTGAGTTGTCCCTCGAAAGGTTGGATTTAAATTCCAAACTGCGTTTATTTGCTTAAAAGCCAGAAGAAGCAGAAGAAGATAATGCGCTAACATAACTTTTAGCTATTAAAAAAAAGATAACCACTATATCTTGATAATTTTTCCATCAAATTATACAAAAGAAAAAAACCACAAGCAAGATTTATACAAAGTATTAGTTTTTATTTTTTGCTGTTCCTATAAACGTACTACATTAATTTACTAATTTATATACACTAGAATTTAAAAAAAAATTAAATACTTATTTTGTAATAAGTATTTAATTAAATTGCACCTTCTAACATCGTGTGCAATCCTGTCCGCTTTCTGTATGCTATCTTTCTAACACGACTTCTTCTGTCTTTTACTCTAACATTCTTCGTTCTTTCTAAACTCACTTTACTCTTGGTCCGTAGAGCGGGTTATGACGCTCCTTGGGGAGCCGAACCTGTCTTTGCGGGCCTTGGTAATGTGGCCTCTATATGGCAATTAGCCGGAGGAGGATAAACCACAATACCTATACACTAGAAAAAAATATAACGATATAACGTATATAACGTAACGGGAGCGAACGTATATAATCCAACGGGAGCGACAAAACGCTAACCCGAATTTAGACAGCATCAAAGAAAAACGCGATGCTCTTTTCTTGCTCCAGTTTCCTGGAACGTTTATTCGCACGAAGCAAAAACTAATCCAAGAAGGAGAAAAACCTTCAAAATCTTTGTATAATTTGGAAAAACTTCAACAGCGGAACAAGTCAATTACCGAAATTCGCAAGAATGACGGCACATTGACGAGTGAACCTGGTGAAATACTAGACACCCTGTCAACGTATTATAAAAACATTTACACCAAAACAAATTTATGCAAAGACAGCCAAAACTATGTCTTGTCACACATCACTAAACCTTTGAGTGATGATGAAAACCAGTTTTTAAAAAGGGCTTGATTAAATATTGATTAAAAAGGGCTTGAAATTTGAAAACGGAAAATCTCCGGGCTATGACGGATTTCCAGCTGAATTTTACAAAACTTTTTGGCACATTTTAGAAAAAGATTTTGAAGAACTTGCCTACGAAATTCTTTTTGTAGAAAAAAATACCAGCCGCTCTATCAAAAAATCAATAATTTCACTGATTCCCAAACAAGGAAATCTTACTAAATGCAAAAATTGGAGGCCCATATCTTTAATCGGCGCTGATTACAAAATAATAACAAAAGCGCTGGCCCTAAGACTTGCAAAAGTAATGGGGAAAATTATAGAACCAAATCAGACTTGCGGAATTCCAGGTAGAAACATTTTTTCAAATTTACATCTAGTACGTGATCTTATAGATTACGCCGAATTCAAAAAGCTACCTAGTTTTATTTCGACCATAGATCAAGAAAAGGCGTTTGACAAAGTCGATCGTGCGTTTCTGCTGCAAATTCTCCAAAAATTTAATCTCGGAGAAAATTTTGTATCATTTATTAACACCTTGTATTCAGATGTTTCGGCAACTGTTCTGAATTGCGGCTTCCTGTCAACCTCCTTCCTCAC